TCTTCAGTTGTTTTCCCAAAACCTTACGCTACCAGAGTCGAAGTTGTCAGTTGTTTCCAAAAACCTTATGCTACGAGAGTCGATTTCTTCAGCTGTTTTCAACTCTATCAAAACATTATAAAGACCTTTTTTTCCATGCCTGTATGTATTGTGCCTATGGGACCGGACATATATTGTTCAGACCAGTCGGCATTCGGTGAATGATATGGTCAACATTACACAGGTCGCCTTTACTTCCTATAACTTTGACCGGTAACCATTTAAAGCTGGGTCGACCTGGGAGTCAAAATCATTTTTAAAAGAATTCGGCCTCCGTCGGGACTTTAATCACGACCTTCAGATTAGCCAGCGATATATATTTTTTTCTAAGAGTCAGCAATGCACTTTCCATATGTTAGGCGGATGTGATAACCATTGTTTTGTAATTATCTTGTCATATTACTTGTCAAGAATACTGTTATAAAGCAGGGAACTAAATTCTCCCTTTTGTATCTTTGAGCTACGGGTAATGTTCTATTGAAAGCTTTTAAGTTATAAAATATAATAATAATGATGATTTGATAATAATAATAATGTGTCGATCACACTTAGCTGCAGCAGTACATGTGTTGACACCACTCCATGCCATAAAAAAGGGCTGCCATCAAATTATCTCGATGACTTTCATTATCGATATTTGCATTATTATTTCCATAGTCCAGGTTTTCACTTTTTATCATCATGTACAGGTCCATTGCAGAACGTCGCTCTGATCACGGTCTGCTTGAAAGAATATCAGTGTCTCGTTAGCTCTCCTGCCTCGTATACTTTCTATTCAAGGAGTCGCTTGTATCATGTGCCCGTCTTCGTGTTGGTCAGTCCCTGCCCCTCCTTCCCAGTGCCATTCCTTCTGCCATTATTTTTACCCTGATCCTTAATGACGTTTGATATGACCAAAATATTTCAGCTTCCGGGGCACGATGAAAAAAGCCAGTCTTCCTTGAGTTCAGATCTCTCAAAATGTCCGTATATCTCATATTCGTTTTTTTTTTTCTTTCTTTTGTCCATGGTATTCTGATAATCTTTCTATAGCATTTAAGCTCAAAAGCTCCTATTTATAAGTACTGGGAGATAGTCCATGAATGGCTCACAAAGCCGTATGTCGCTAGAGGGAAGAATTATGCTCTTAAATTTTGTGTTTTGATTTTCTTGCTGGTGCCTAACCGTAGACTTTTAATGCTGTTTGATGGCTTTCATAATGATTTTCTTGGGATAATAATGTGTTAGTTTCCCCTTGCCTTCCACGCCCACACAGCTTTAGACTAGGTCCTCAGCCTTCAGCAACCTTTTAGATTGCCAGGGCAAGTGGGTGCCCTGCTCTGTGACACACCTGCTAACAGCGGAGGACACTCCACATGTGTTCAGATGATACTCGGTCCCCATAGCTGCGTTGGCCACACCGTAATGTGTATCCCATCCTTTACCGCGTGGAGGTGCAGTTGGTATTTGTCCTTCGCTGAGTCTTGAGACCGTAATGGCATTTTCTAAGACTCTCCAGTTCTCTTCTTTTAAAGTTGACAACATAGTGACTGGGTTATTTCTTGTTGGTTAAAATATGTGCTCACAATAATATAGTAATTTGTTTGCTCAAGAAATTTATTTAAAAAAAGCAGATAGATAACACATAACATGCACTGATATAGAAACAAATGTGTTAAGGACATAGCAACGTCCTCCAAGGAAATCAGCCGTACGGTGTTGAGTGTGACGAAAGGTGCCGCATCCTATTCTTGATATAGTAAGCAGTGGGCATAATAGAAAGGAATAGACTCGTGCCTTGAGTGACAAAACGGTAAAACAGTAACTCGTTGATTTAAACAAAACAAAAAAATCTCTAAAGTTCCTGCTTGTCGAATGAGAAAAAAAATGTACGGTGCTTTCACACTTCTGTTCTCAAGATATTTTATCTCCCATCGCTTTGTTTTCCCTCTAGATGTGTATTTTCCGTTTTTATTTTTCTTGTTTATATTGCTGGTGTCGCAGCAACCTTGAATGTATGTGTTTTTTTTTTTTTTTTTCCGAGCCATTTGCAATGCATTTTTTGACAAATTCGTTCTTATGCTGGGTAATTTGATGGCATGAAGCTGTAAAAAAAAAAAGAAATGTGATAGAAATGCCAGTAATAATTTTTTTTTTTTTTTGGCAAATATTTTTAAAACTAATGCAAATAACAGAACGATTAGACACTGGGAGGTTATGAATAGAGTGTCATAAGCCAGCTTTCAGCAACAAAGATATCAGATATACAACACTTAGCTATTGACCGGATGGAGTGTCACAAGTCAACCTTTAGCAACAAGGCTATCAGCTATACAACACTTAGTTGTTGACCGGTTAGTGTGTCACAAGTCAACCTTTAGCAACAAAGCTATCAGCTATACAACACTTAGCTGTTGACCTGTTATAGTGCCACACGTCAACCTTCAGTAACAAAGCTATCAGCTATACAACACTTAGCTGTTGACCGGTTAGAGTGTCACAAGTTAACCTTTAGCAAAAAGGCTATCAGCTATACAATACTTAGCTGTTGACCGTTTAGAGTGTCACAAGTCAACCTTCAGCAACAAAGCTATCAGCTATACAACACTTAGCTGTCGACCGGTTAGAGTGTCACAAGTCAACCTTCAGCAACAAAGCTATCAGCCTTACAACACTTAGCTGTTGACCGGTTAGAGTGTTACAAGTCAACCTTCAGGAACAAAGCTATCAGCTATACAACACTTAGCTGTTCACCGGTTAGAGTTTCACCAGTCAACCTTTAACAATAAAGCCATCAGCTATACAACACTTAGCTGTTGACCGGTTAGCCAAAACCAAGCAGTCAGAAGTGATTCTAGGACAGCGTTTGCCTAAGTTGGCCAGAAAGACGAACGAGAAAAGACCAGAGGTCGGCTATTGGTCACTTGCGAACGAGAGATCGAGGAGTGTAGTTGTCCTATTAAAAGATGTTGAATTTACGTAAAGAAGCAGATAACAATAGAACGGGTCCCAATCAACGAGCCTGGGACGAGCATTATGCAAAGAAAATCATCAGATTGTAGCGACAATAAAGTTTGGAAGCTAAAGGCATATCATTTATAGTAGATCTGGCAACCAACCCCCTAATTTGTTTCTGTTAATGATTTTTGCTGGCAGTTTTACGTTTCGAGTTTACCCTTAATTTTTGAACCATTCAACTTTCATAATTTTGGTAAAATCAACGCAAAACGGTCTGCTGCCACATCAAAAGCAGCAGAATTAGAACCAAGTGTGTTAGAATTGTAAAAATACGTTAACGAGGCCGGTACTACTCCCAAAAGTCACACCATCTCTTCCAAGAGCAAGATTTCCTTGCGGTTCCAGTTAGGTTTCGTCTTTTCTAGTGGTGTTCGTTTTTTAAAGTGTTAAGCACGTCGACCATCGCCGAGAGCCACCGCGAACGAGCGTTAATATAAAAAACACGGTTCGATACTCACTGAGCGTCGCGCCTTCGGCGCTTTCCCCTGAAGTTTTTCTTCCTTGCACACGGACGCCTTTTCCGCCTCAAGTACTCGCAGCAACAACATATTTCACAAACACCAGTCGTTCAGAGTTTAAAAAAAAAAAAAAAACAGTTGCAAAAAGAAAGCTGCTCACTTTCATCTGGGAGACAGTGTGTCCAGCGCGTTGAAAGAATGCGAGGCAGTTTTCAGCACGGTGTGCATAGATAGCGAAGGAAGGCATCTCATAACACCCCTAGAACATAGGAAAGCCCATGGGAACCACCACGAAATCTCGCAGCTGAATGAGATGTGGTGACTTTTGTAAGTAGTACCATGACGCAACTGAAGGAGATGTGGTGACTTTCGTAAGTAGTACCATGACCCCTATACTCCAAACACTGAATTTGAAATATACTTTTTAAGGGCTGAAATTCTGATTTAGACAACATCGCAAAGAGGCTGAGCATTTAGCAAAACACAATTTAGCAGCAAAGTGTTACACAACTAAACGTTCACATGAAATTATGAAGACAGTCTCAACACTTAGCAATCAATCACTCAATTAGATGCCGTCTTCACCATGGAGGTTGGTTAAAATAGATCTCCAATCCGCTCTAAAGGTTCACAGCTGCAGATATCACCCGACCATTCGAGTCCTTGTGTGAACAGTTTTTACCTCTCTGTCGTATGACATTCTCTCAATATGCCCCAACCATTTCAGTCTATTAGTTCTCACGATGCCAGTGATCAATGGTGATTTAAATAAATTATTAATTTAGTTCTCTATTTCCGGCTGATTGCATCTTTGATGGGTAGAATGATTCGTCGTAAGACTCTTTTCGAAAATGAACAGGCAAGACTATCTACTACACTACATTAGCTTTCTGATCAATGATATTGCAAAGTAAAGTAAAGTGAGGAACTGTTTTCCACGACTTTCAGGCGTATTGGGTATATAGGGTTAGACTTTTATTTTACAGACGCAATCGGCACTTGGTCCGGGATGTGAACAGAATCACACCGGCTGCCTTTATTTCCTAAGATTGTACCTGGTACCCACTCAAGGCTGGGCCGACGTGGTAGCCAAGATCATTTTCGAAAAAAAAAAAAAATGCCCTTGTCTGGAACCTAACCTACGACCTTCCGACCCGCAGGCGAGCGTCTAGCTACTAGACCACGGCAGCTCCCAGAAGTAAGTAAAGATCCCCTTTTTTACGCCTTTAGGCGCATTAAGTACATGGAAAGAACACCTGTGTTTTTACAGACCAATCGGCACTAGGTGCGTAATGTGGTCAGCATTACGCCGGTCGTCTTTACTTTCCCAGGACAAACATTCTGGTATCTATTTTGGGCTGGGTCGACCTGTGCCGCCCTATACCACGCGATGCATGCCATTGGATGTGGCAATATGTGGACGGCCCTCTCCGTCGGAAAGGCTCTCTGTGATGATGATAATGATGATGATGACGACGATGATGTTAAAAGGGGATAATAACTCACTTTGTAAATGCATTATGTATCCCATCCGTCATCACGTGACACAATTTGTCAAGGATATGGCCTTGACCGTTAGGTTCATACACTAGGTTGACCTTGCTATAATTATATTCCCGAAAGAGAGTCACCAGGAACTCTATGAGTGTGTTGAAACTGGAGCCCACACGGGTCAGAGTGCTGTACAACGTCTTCTTGGACGCACTGAAGTCTCGCGCCATGGCGCCACTTGTAATCTGAGGAAAACAATGACCTCAGATAAGATATAATGCGAAACCCACAACAATCCATATTTGTGTGTGTGTTTGTGTGTGTGTGTGTGTGCGTGCGTGCGTGCGTTCGTTTGTACGTGCGTGCGTGCGTGTGTGTGTATGTGTGTGTGTTCGCTTCAGAAAGGCATTTGGCAAGTTACATTGTGGTCAGTAATGAATTTGGATATTAGCAAAAAAAAGTACAGCTTAGAGTCTTATAATCTACAGGGGCGTGAAATTTTTTTTTGTTAAATATATTTTTAACCCAGTTGTCTTTTAATACGTTTTTAAGTGGTCCCTCCATAAATTTTCCAATTGTATTAATATTACTATGGGTAATATTTCATGTATTTACTTTAGTTTGATTTAAAGTTTGAACAACGAATTAATATCATAGCATAAGGGTAGTCACCCATAAGTGCTCCGATCTACATCTAACTCAAATCTGAGTCCAAAGTAGCTCAGCGCAGTGCACGATTTCCGTAGCACCAGCGACGATCCTAAAATATTTTAAGGAGAATAATAACTCAAAATTTTGTCCGAGCAGCACCGTTAGGTAACTCTTTTCGATTTCTAACTGCCAATGGGTTTTTAACGTGCACAACAATACACACGGGCCTCCTATCTTACTACCCTGAGACCAGGTGGAAATAACTAGAAGTCCACTTGAAAAATCCCAGTATTCATCAGGGACTGAACCCTGGACCTCCAGCAATCGAGGCGAGCACCATGCCTCGAGATCACGAAGCCCCCTCATGTATGTACGTAAAAACGACAATTTTCATTATCCATATATTTAAAAGGTGTATATATGTTAATTAAAGGGAGACACCATGGTGAATGGGCTAGACACTCGAGCGTTGATCGGAAGGTCATGGATTTGGGTTCGGGTCCTGACTGAGCCGGTTTTCTTACCAAAAAAAAAAGACCCTGGCTCTCAAGTTAACCCGGCCTTAATATATTCATGGAAAGTAAAGGCGGCTGGCGTTATGTTGACCACATCAAGCACCGAGTGCCGAGTGGTCTAAAAAAAATATAGATTTACTATACATTTTCAACGTTTCATTTTTATTTTATTTTAGGTTACCTATAAAATATATAAAACTGAAGAGGCCTCAGGGCTTTATAACACGTAGGACCTCAACAAGTCTACATCCGGCCTTGGTTGTGGTGTACAACTAGGCTGTGGTATCATAACCTTTCGGTTCAACACATCCGATTTTAGCAAACCCCTGATTAGCCAGGTGTGTGGTTGTGGAGAAATGAGATTCTCTAAGCAGTGCGCGCGTGTGTGTGTGTGTGTGTGTGTGTGTGTGTGTGTGTGTGTGTGTGTGTGTGTGTGTGTGTGAAAGGGGAGGGGGTGTGATAGTAAGTGATAGTAAAGCACTGCGTGTGTGTGGGGGTGAGTAAGTGTAAAGCACCCGTTTTACGGCAGTGGTAAGCCGTGCGTACCATGCTACGGGCTTTTATACACTAGTCGGCACTGGATGTGATAAATGGTCAAAATCACGCCGGCAGCGTTTATTTCCCAAGACATTTTAGGCTCGGCCGAAGTGATAGCCAAAGTCAGTTTTCTCCAAATCCGACCGGTGGGGAGTAAACCTCAAAACCTTTAGGAGAACAGGCGAGAGTTTAGCTGCGCTTCTACTGCAGCCCCTAAACCGGTATACAATGCATAAAATTGTACTTTCATAGATCATGATAAAGCTTTCGATAGAATAAATAGAGAATTACTTTGGGAAGTTCTAGAACATTACAAAATAAAAGAAACATTGTTAGTAAACACAAGAGCCATCTGAAGGGAAAATAATTAGCGAAGGAGACTTTTCAGGCTGCAATCAGGCCGCCTCCCCCCCCCCCCCCCCAGCATGTGTAATTGGTGTCATTGATATGCTGGCATGTCCTGTGGGGGGAAAGCCAACTGTTGGAGTAAGGACCCTTTTAAAACATTAGATACGTAGGAAAATAACGTTAAGCATATTTCTATAGACCAGTCGGCACAAGATGAGTGATATGGTCAACAACACGCCGACCGCCTTTTCTTCCCAAGAGGTATTTGGTCCTCAGTTTCGGCTAGGTTAACCTGTAAGCTAGGGACAACAAAACAAAACAAACAAAAAAAACAAAAAAACAAAAAAAACAAAAAAACAAAAAAATCTGACTCAATGCCGATTTGAACCCACAACTTTTGGGTCGGCATTCGAGCTCCCTGTCATTATGTTACCAAGGCTTAAACTGGTGAACTTACCACAGGTAGATTCCAATACTTTGCCTGTCGAGCAACAGGTGCCATGGAATAGTCACAGACCGGTCCGAAGAAAGCATGCACTTTACCTGTAGATATAGATGAAATATGTCACCCATTTTGGAATGCAAGCTTGTGAACATGAACACTAAAAGAACACTTTTCAACACAATATTCTTACCACCGCTATGCTATCAATGTCAAGCATGGACACTGTCTTCAGAAGACAGAAGGAAAATAGTCACCACAGATTTAAAATGTTTACTTACTATGCTAGATTTAACGAGGAAAGATCGACTTAGAACCGATGATATCAGGAGAAGAGTCAGCACAGAACTAATGATTAACTTTATAGGTAGACAACAAATCAAATGGTTTGGTCACGTAATAAGATTGGCAGCAGACAGGGTACCACAGAGAGCAAAGTTAGTGAGATATAGCAGTAAAAGTTCCAGAGGTCGACCACGCAGAATATGGACCGCAGAAATATCAGAGACAACGAAAAAGTACTTCATAGGAAAGGTCCGTTCCAGAGATCTTTTCCTGTCCTGATGCCGAAAGGCATTCCAGGAGTAGAGAAAAGAACAGAAGAAGAAGAAAGATGACAAATGATCTCAAGTACGTGTCAATGATCTAAATCAGTCGATCGAAATCAAAGTCCTCTGGGTCGCCAATGTATGGGGATATACCTTTTTCGTTTTTTTTTTTCCTTTTAAAATTTAACATGGTCGAGTTAAGTATAATGTACGTGACATTATTTTGTCATGTATTATTATTTGGTTTCACTTGTTTACTGAATATTTCTATACCTTCTTCTCTTCTTCTTTGTGTTCACTGGCTGTAAATTTATAGCAGAAAGTTCTGGTTTGTTCACATCCAGACTTTAGCCTTGTTTCAGAGTTTGAGTGTTAAATGCACAACTGTTTTACAAATCTGATTTATTTATATGCAGACTGTTGGTTCCTTAACTCCCGTGCAGACGCACTCTGACGTCAAGGATGTTCCCATTTCGCCGACTGTTACGACATGTTTCTGGGGTAGCCAGTGGGTCTATTTTTCTTTTCACTTTAACATGGATTCGGAACCCACACGAGTAATGTAGGCTTGTAAAATATAGATCTAATAAGTAAGTAAAGTAAAGATCCCTTTTCACGCCTTTAGGCGCATTGGGCAAATGGGAAGAGCACCAATATTTTTATAGGCCAATCGGCACACGGTGAGTAATGTGGTCAGCATTACGCCGGCTGTCTTTACTTCTCCATGACATACATTCAGGTACCCATTTCAGGCTTGGTCGACCTGCCACGTGTCATACCATGATAAAAATCCACGCAGCCAGCAGCGGGTTTCGATCACGGTACGTTGGAATTACGAGTCGGACTTGCAACGCCAAAGCCACAGACGCTGCATCTTGTAAAATACAGCCTTCCAAAAATGTAGACTTCTTTTTGCCTTGACTACTATGAAGTTTGTCTAATGCAGTCCGTATAAAAATGACATTTTTAGGTGCCAATCTTTCCCACAGTGCAACTAATACTAATGTCCGGAAACTTAGAAATACGGTTTCTCTCCCAGCGCGTAAATTATAACTTAGTATTCGAGGGTCATGAAATTGTTAAATGCATTCACTAATCTCGAAGCAGATCTATAAACAGACAACACTAAATCTCCTTTAGTCAGAACTCTCCCAAAAATCCATAAACAATTACACGGACAAAACAAATAGCCAAAACTTTCATAAAACCCACAAACAGACATATAGAAAGAAAGAAAAATGAGTAGAATTTTATCAAAACCCTAAAAGAGACACACAAAAAAAAGAAAAAGGATCATAACGTCATGAACAAGGTACACGAAAAAAAAAAACATTTGAATTCTCCAAATATCAATAAACGGATACCCAATTAAAAGAGAGAGAGAGAGAGAGAGAGAGAGAGAGAGAGAGAGAGAGAGAGAGAGAGAGAGAGAGAGAGAGAGAGAGAGAGGGAGAGAGAGAATTAAAAAAAAAACTTATTGGCTAGAAAACTCAACCAGAAAATGCATAAGCAGTTACATGAGAAAATTCATTAGCCGGAGCCCTCATAAAGACTTAGAAAACAGACATACTAAACGTTAACTAGAATCTATGTGAGCGTTAATATTCACCAAGTGTGCCATCTTGGTAGGAATTTGTCAGGTTACGAGTTTTAATAAATATTTTTTTTTTTCATTAAGTCGATGTCTTAGCTACAGGTCACAAAATGGAAGGCTCCTGTCAACAGTTTTATAGTACCCGCAAACCTTTAGTTTGACTGGTTCATACTAAAGCCCACGGAAACCTTTGGTTTGATTGTCTCATATTGAATCTTATAGCTCAATATTACTTGGAGGAATCGAAGGCTTTGCGATGTTTTTCAAAAGGAAAGTGTCCAAGGAGTCCTAGAGTCTCTAGAACTGTTTTAAAAGTTAAAAATGGTAAGCGTAATCGGTTCTTGGTGGTTTGACGTTGGAAATATTCATAAGTCGCTGGATTTTCACACAACTACAATATGAGACACATCAATGTTTTATAACCTTATTGGAGAGAGAATTTTAAGCAAGAAGTATACAGTGTTTCAAGTGCGAGGATGACATGACAAAAATGAACGAACATTAGTATCAGAGTGTACAAACCAATACGAGGGAAAGAGAGATGAAGCAGGACGGAAGACAAAAAGACAGGCGCGAGGAGGAGGAGTGCGTGTGTAGTGTGTTTGTGTGTGTGTGTGCGTGTGTATATATTAGAGATCTATTTCAGAAAAACATTCACTGTAAAGACAGTACCTAATGATGAGACATGGGACGCACTTTAAACATTATTTTCAATCTAAAATAATCAAGCAAGATAAAAGACAGACATCTTCTTTGCCTTCCTCTTCCTCTTGTTAGTCTTTTTTTTATCTTTCTCCTCAGTTACCTTATTCTTCTTATTCTTCTTCATCTTCTTCTCTTCTCTTGTCTTCTTGTCAACCAAGAAACAAGACCGAGTTTGTTGAACATGCATTGCAGCCAACATTCACTGGCAGCACCTTACTGATTGTTGAAAGTAGAGAGAATCGACATCATTGCCCGAAATTCTCTTGTTCCTTGAGCGGGAAGCCATCCTCTCTTTAAGGCGACGTGTTCGACTACTCCTGGCATAGTTGCTGTTGTTTTAGATATTTATTTTGTTTAGTGTGTCCATTCTCAGCTGATTTCTATGAATGCCAGTCAGTAGATGACTGACTGACTGACTTTCTATCCCACCAGGACAACACACAAGCGATAAACACCCGATGACACAAAGTGCCACCATGCGAATGAGGATCGCCATGGAGAGGTCCCAGAAACCGCGTTCAGACATTTGGCCATATTTATGGCCTGCCTATATTGCGGCCCCCGGCAAAAGTCAGGGTGGAGCTTCAAATAAAAAATTTCATCCTGAAGAGGACGATAGAGGTTCTCCGCTGAGCTAAAAAAAAAAAAATCAGTAGATGATATCTAGTTATTTTAATATTTCTATGAATGCCAGTCAGTAGATGATATCTACTTATTTTAATATTTCTATGAATGCCAGTCAGTAGATGATATCTAGTTATTATAATATTTATATGGCCACAGGCGAGAGTCTAGATGCCCAGAGTAGTTCCCTGGCTAATTATTTATGTTTGTGTCATTTAACAATTCAGTGCCAGTAAGAATCAGAGTTAAATATAATCCACAGCAGTATCCAAGCAACGGAGACGTCAGGTTACGCCCGGCATACAATATGCCAATCTGAAATAAATGGTTGCAAAAATTCAATCGGAAATTATAGAAAATATAGAAGTAGCAAAGTTTGTATACTGAGGAAGAATATCTTACTACACGGCTTTAAGAAATAATTGTGAACACCGTCTAACAAGCAGCTTCATTAAATCAATTAATTTGTCTCCCTTGCTGGTGGACACTCAGGTTCAATTTACCCGAAGCGAAGAAAGTATATCAGAGCCATAACCGTATACATTCACTCAGAAACTATTGTAACTGACTCTAGACTTGATACAAAGCCGGGGCTTTTGTTGTATAAAAGAAATGTTTGTTAGTCACAAGACGAAAGACGCCGTATTCGACCTGTTATATATATATATATATATATATATATATATATATATATATAGATATATATATATATATATATATATATATATATATATATATTGATTAGATAGTCTAGGATTTAGGTACTTTCCCCCATGTTTTTCTAAGAATATTTCTAAAACAGTTTCGCTCAAAAGCCCATTTTGTCTTTCCCAAAAACTGCGAGATAGTCCACGACTCACATTCGTATGTTGCTACAGGGAAAATTTACGGAGAATAATTATGAGAAGAATAAGAAACAAAATAACACCAGAAATCAGCGACAAACAATATGAATTTGTAGAAGGAAAAGGTACAAACAATGCCATAGACATCCTAAGGACATTGTCAGAAAGAACTACAGAAGCAAAGACTGATTTGACTTATGCTTCTTGGACTATACAAAAGCATTTGAGTGTGTGAAAAAAAAAGAAGAAGTAATCAAACTATCAGAAAAATTGATCATTGATGGAAAAGATCTACGAATAATATAAGAATATGTTTTGGCAGGAAACATTCATTGGGACCTTTCCGTCTTTCCAGACGAAAGTATTATATTGCGCTATGAGGAGACACATGACTCACAGCCCATGGCGATGGCGAGTGTGACTAGCAAGACCCGCCCGTGTCAAGAAAAGTCTTCCAAAATGATAGCATGGGATTTCAGAACCATGGTTATCAACATATGTGTTTAATCCGTTTCTTTTCAGACGCTTAGCTCTCATCATTTCTGCAATCATTTCTTCATTCCCTTCCTGATATGCCCTTTCCACACAACACGGTCCATGGCATCTTGTTCCCATGAGTCCGCCTCAATATCTGTATCATTCATGTCTCGCTTGCATACATCTTTATAACGTAGTAGAGGTCGGCCTCGACATCTTCTTCCTGTCTTCAATTCACCATAAAGAATGTCCTTTGGGACTCTGCCATCCTCCATTCTCCAGGTGTGACCCAGCCACCTGAGCCTTCG